GAGAAATAAGTTGAACCTCGATTAAACCGATTAAACCTCGGTTAACCGTGAGTTATGAAACTAAGCCTTAGTTACTCCTTTTTAAACAGAAATCGGTCCCTTTTTAACATCTTTCTTTCTTTCTTGCTGAAAAAAAGATCGCCCTTCCTCGAGTTGTAATTCGATAGATGAAAATGTATGTTGTCAAAAAATCGATTGTTCGTCAATTGTTTCATATGATATCATAAATACTAATTAATATATTTATGTTGAAAAGATGAATGGAATATCCAGAAGCAGCGTTTCTCCATCTCCTTCACCGGAACCACCGAAATTGTCGCCGCGTTCTCCCATCGATTACGAGAAAGGTAAATCGCCCGACGCGGTGAGAGACAGTCCACCAGTATTACCGAGAGTTTACATAGCAATCCAACCGACTGCTCTCGAATGTTTGAAGCAAAATTTGATCGTCACCAAAAGCTGGCATAAAGGCGACAGCTCGCCGAGCTCGCCAACCGAGAAAGAAGTCAAGGTGAACGATACGGATCAAACGATAATACACGATGTAACAATGCCAGCTATATCTCCGGTTTCATCGTCCGAGTTTGAAGATCCAACAAATAGTACGGCGGAGTGGAACGAAGAAGAAACTTTGTCGAAAATGAAGAATCCGGAAATCGAGGAGAAAATTCCGGAGGATACTAAAACGTTTAGCGACATTGAGGAACATCGACAAACGATACCGATGGTGCCTTCGGACAGCTTTCTGAGTCCGACAATGGACCTCGAAATAGATAGAAGCGGAATGAGAGACATGAAAGAAAGACCTGTCGCTCAGAAACATCTTGACGAAGTAACACAGGAAACCGAAAACAAACAAGTCGCCTGCGAGAAACAGAAGCTGGAACAGAAATCGAACGAAGCTTTACCATCTAATCCATCGATCGTAAAAGATACTAGGAAAACGATGAAATGCGGAACTTATTCAGAAGAGAGAATCAATGTTAAGAATAGAGTAGTCACGAGTACAGTTACAGCTGCACAGGAAGAGATGATCAGACAAGTACCCGCCGCCAATGTGACTAACATCTTGCAATTACAGTCGAATTATTATGGCTCGTCTGTCGCACGCGAGAACGTCTTTACAGATGTTATCCAAAATTCGAGAGACGTGCAGAAGGTAATCTGTAAAAAATTATGGATTAATAATGGTTACAACACACAATTGCCGTAAAATATTGAACTCAATAAAATTGCATGTACCATCTACATTTCTATGAAAAATACCATTGTGTGAAACAATCTATATTAATTTATTGTTAGTTAATTTTTTTTATTACCATCGTATCTCATATTTTTTCTTGTAAAATCTACAAATTATTATACGTAATAATTTAATAATTGCCCTGTATTATGCCATGCTGTTATTAATTATTAACAATTATATATTTTTTTCTTTTTATCAATGAAAAACTTGAGCATTTACAAAAAATAATTTTGATCCGAGTTAAAACGTATTTTGCGTAATTTTAGGTAACATCAAGCATGAGTCAATCTGCTGCCTTGGATCCAGCAGTACCCTTGAATTTTACTCAATCTGGATCTACTGTTAGCAGCTCAAATCAACAATGTATCGTGTAAGTATAATATATGACGTGTTACATAATTCTAAGTTTGATCTATATATATGTGGAATTTAAAATGTTCTTTCACACAATCGATGTATTAGTCTGCCTAATAGCTGCAACAGAGTCACTCAGGAGAATACCAATCAGCGAAATGACGGAAATCGTATTATGACGGAGCAATTTCCTACGCTGGGTAATTGGGTAGCGCGAATGTCGAAGAAACAAGCTACTAAATCGAAATCTAAATTACAATCTGGAATAAATTTACCAACCGCATCAACGGCGGAGGTCGCTCGCGTAAGTTATAAAAATATTTTCACCAATTCGTTCGATGAATTATTTCGATGAATCATTTTTTACTAACGAATTTTTTACTGTTCCTCCGCAAACAGGTTCCCGGAGTGGAGGCGCAAAAGATCCGCTCAAATGCACCAAGTAATGCGACTCGAAACAACATAGTCAACGTAGCGCCGCAATGGAATACGGAAAGGTGGCAGCGTCAGCAGTATCAGCAACGTCAGCAACAAATGTATACATCATCAGTTATACCTCCAGTGAGACCGGGCATCTGTCCACCTATCTCAGTTACCCAGTTCTATCCATCGAATTATACGGTAAGAGATAAGAAGATCAATGGACTAATCAATATATAAACGTAACGCATCTACTAGATATCGATTTTATTTCACAATCGCTTAGAGAACTAAGTATCTAATCATAATATATGTAGTCATCTCATCATTCAATCATTTAGCTAGTTTACCGTTGCAGATCGAACCTTACGGTGCGGCTTTTGGCTACCACTCAGCGGTATGTCCTTACGGCGATTATCCCTATCACTCACGCCTGCACGCTACCGCACCGCCAATAAGCGGCTACCAATTAGGTCCTTTGCAAGATTCGCACGCAGCTTCACTCCGTCAGATGCAACATCACGACAAGCGTTATCCTACTCATCTGCAGGATACGGCGTCTCGTCACTTTACCGCGGATCTCCTCAAATATTCCGGTACTTTATCCGCGGGCGGCTATCAGCCGGCAGCTGCCGCTGCTGCCGGGTTGGACTACGATCGTCTGAGGACGTCGACAGCTGCTACGCAAAACAGTACCACGTCGACCTGTTTGCCACCACTGCTGTTACCGCCACCTCCACCGTTAGTAGCCTCCGCGCAGCAATCTTTGGCACGCACTTCCTTGGCTGGCTACCCCGCGAGCAATGGTCAATGCGGCAGAAATAGGATGATCCCGGATGTCGTTGCTGCAGCGGCAGCTGCTGCGGTGGTTGCGGCAGCTTCCTTCGGCCGACAGCGTGGTACGCTATCATCCTACGGAAGAACTGACACAGAAATGGTATCTGGAGGAATCGGCGGTGTCATGGATAACGAATCTTCGCAGCTGATGACGAATAGAGTGGCAAATCGCGAACGTTTACCACAAGAACAGGTGCAACCAGTCGGTGGCGTCAATGTAGACTCGCGATTGAATAATAATAGTTATCGGCAATTGCAAAATTTAATACTGGATAGATTACCTTACGTGAAAGCGGATGATACTTATTCTCAATCTACAGCGATGTATGACGACAACGCACAGGAGCCGACGGTAGCATCCTCAGTGCCCACGTCGACGTACAAATCCGCTACGATATTAGCATCCAATAACGCGTCCAATAACGCGTTGGTCGCCAAGGCACCCGTGCGGAAAGAGAATCGTAACTGCGAAACGCCGCATCTGGGTAAGGTGAATCGTACTCTGGAAACTACGAGTAATCTGGAGTGCTCCAATTGTGGCCTCACCGGATCCATGTTCAAGTGCCTAGGTTGCGAAACAGCCTTCTACTGCGACGAAAGATGCCAAACTCGTCACTGGAGTATCCATGTAGAAAAATGTCCCAAGAGGATGCCCAAGTTAAAAAAACTTGTCTGAAAATTATCATAGAAACTATAAGGCAATCGATAAATAAATTGTCTGTAAAATATTAATGAGCTTGTTCAATAACTACAACAATAATCAAGAAAAATGAACGATATACAAAATGTGTTATTGTTTTGATATTCATATATTTTTGCCCCGATAATTTATGTATCTCTAGTCAATGTATTATAAATTATAACGAATGCGAGTTCTGTCTTAACAGTCGCATCGGATTTACACCACGAATGTGATAAAGTGTGCCTGGTCGTAAGATAAACGCTTACTGTAATTTTATGGTACTTTGTTCACAGTCTGATGTTCTGCTTTGTAAATTATGAACTGCGAAATACAAAAAGTTCAGCGCACCTCGCATTATATCTTATCTATTATTATACGGTAAATGGCGTATGTATTGTGCAATAGCTATGATATGGAAAGTATAAGCTCATCGATATATTACATGTTGTAATGTAACAGATGTTACGAACGTGCTACCTCTCATGTACCTTACAGTCATAAGTCGTTACAGTATAAGTCATAAAAATTGCATTCGACTGCAATTTCGTTCTATTAAGACTCCTGGTTCTTCATTGCAATTATGTTGGATTATAGTATCAGAAACGAGAAATTATATGAATTTTAAAAGTAAAATTTACAATGAAGTAGGCAAATAAGAAGACGATATAATATTTCATACATAAATTTCATACATATTTTATATTTAAGTAAAAAAGTAAAATCGAATGTTTTATATATAAAACTTTGCGTATGAAATATAGCGTCGTAATACTCCAATTTGCCGATTTTATTGTATATTTCATTTTTAATATTAAATCTTGTTATATATATATATACTTTTTCTCTCAATATGAATTTTTTACAATGTGAAAATTTCTTATCATCGATATCTTACTCCAACATGATTACAACGAGGGGCCTTGCTGCAAAGTAATTTGAAAAATAATTTAAATTATTAATGGAAAATGTGTGTCTAAAAACAGCTGATAAAATATTATCATTTTTATGAATATATGTACTTAAAAGTCGCGTATCTGTAAGAAATAACGCTTACTATACACACACACATATATATATATATATATATATATATATATGTTCTAATGCTTTTTAATTGTTATATAATCATAATCAATTTTTTTATACTTTTATAACAATTTGTAAAGAAATTACAGCACCGCAGTTTTATTAAAATGAATAAATGGCAAATAAATTGATGGAAAACAAACATATTAATTTTCTCATATAAATACGTATATAAATGTAAATATTTATTTAAGGAATATTAAAAATATCAAAATAAAATTTAACAAATTTTAGATATTATCTATCGATTAGAATAGATTACACATTTGATACATACATATGTATACCTCCGTAAATATATATCATAAATATATCCATAGATATATACCATATGTATATATTTATGGACATCATAGAAAGACTCTTTATATACAATTAAAGTTTAAAAGTAAAGCTTTGCTGTGGCTGTTGTGTAGCTATTTGATTTAAGAATTTGTGAGCTTCTTGATAGTGAGGACTTGTTTCCGTGACAACTTTCTCCATCCAAGCAGTCAGACGTGGTCTCCCTTTTTTCGGATCGTAACCGGCCATTCCTACAAGAAAAGAATTCTTGATTATTCAAATCTTAATCACGGCGTACATCATATTGCCTGAAATTGAAAAATTTATGTAGCTTACGCGGTTGTTCCAATTCACAAGCACAGAATATATCAGCCACGCTAATCGTGTTTCCTGTCAGAAACGGCTTATCTTTCAGCCATACAGTCTCAATAATGTCAAGACAATCGTTCATACGACTTTCCAATTCGGCTACCTTTTCCGGTTTTGGCGGCTTACCTCGCATTAGCGGATTAAGAAACTATTTTTAAAAAATATGTTTAAATATTCAGCGTGTAAAAGAATACTATTTTTAAGGAAAAAAAAGCATTTACTTTCGCTAAAAAATACGCTGCACAATGAAGTCTTGTGTTGAGATGCTGCCACTCGAGATATTCATCAACCTTCGCTTGTTTTTTCGAATCAGAAGGATACCAATGATCGTCCACTTTAAATTCTCGGCATATGTATCGCGTAATCCCTACACTAAAACAATTAAAGGCTGTTACAAACAATATTAAATAGAGATATTTTATTTATAATTCTATTAGGTGTTAAACTTAATTCCTGCCGTTTTTCGTTTACCTTAATCAAAGTAATTTCCTCCATTTTCTACTTTATTACTAATTAATAATACTTTGATTGAGGTATTTCCCATCGAAACAAATCAATTTTGGAGACGAAAAACGGCAGGAATTAAGTTTAACACCTAATATGTTACTCTGTGGAAAGAATAATACCTTTCACCAAGGTTGAAATCATCGTGCTGTATAACAGGGACTTTCTTATATGGATTGATCCGTTCAAATTCTGGAGTATATTGTTCGAGATTCTTCAGATTTACAATCTTCTTTTCGAACGGTATATTCCACGTTTTGAGAAGTATATATATTGCTCTCGAAGGTTGCGAGAGTAAATCGTAATACAACTTCAAAGTCATGATTCAGAAAAAAATTCTAAGAAAGAATAAAAATTAAAAGAAATAAAGGAAACTTTCAATTAGAGATAAAACGTCTTAAGCATTACTTTTGTACTCTTTTTAACCCTTCACGTGTAATCTCGATTTTTTTGTCCAGCACAAGTTTTTTTTACTATTCTAGATTTTCAAAAAATATGGAAAAATTCAGGATTACTTTTCAACATCTTTATTACCAAATAGTTTTTACTTAAATGTTAAAATCTTTATTTAATAAAAATTAAAATTTAAACAAAAATGAAAAAATTTGAGAATAAAATTTTTTTTGTGTCAGAAAATTACAGATAAAGTAGAACGGAATCTTAATATAAGACATGCGCGTGTGCACATTTATGCTTCGTAATTCATGAAATTTAAGAATTCATAATTTGCCCGTCAATCACTTTGAAATAAGATTATCCGTATTGAATAAATTTTAAATTAGCCTCACAATATGCTGTATACGTTGCAGCGTTATTACAAATTTGCTTTGAAACTGATAATTTGTTTATCATATTTAAGGTGACACTGCCATTTATACGTAACCAAAATAATCTATTTTTTTTTTTTTTTAAGAAAGGGCCATGTAGTATTGCATTGTTAATTATTAGATGTTGTAATTTTAAGGATTTATGCCTGTATTCAGACTTTTTAAAGCTTCCTTAAATTTATCTTTAAATATTCAGTAGCCAATAAAATAATTCATATCTGAAGATAATTTAAGGAAGCCTTAAATATATAAGGCCCAGTTTCACAACTCATGGTTAACTCTTAACCGAGGTTCAACTTATTTCTCATCTTTTTCTAATTCTAGAATTGAAAAGAGATAATGAATAAGTTGAACCTCGGTTAAGAGTTAATTTATTATTATCAATAATACATTATCGATCTATAATCGTCTCTATAGTTATCAAAGATATCTGACGCGAACTGACAAAATCCACGCAAGCAATGAGTTTTCATTTCATTTAATTCCAAGGCTGCCGAGTTTTTATTGCGATAACCAGGCAAGCGAATTGAATGAAGTGAGTTGTACGTGGACCGATTATCGCTCGTTATTTGACACCATTCGCGGATTACTTGCCACTTAATTCACGCAGGAGAAAACTCACTCTACAGTCTACTCGGCGTTCAGACTTAGGACTAGTCAAGTTCAGACTGGGAATGACGAAGCAAAATAATTTTTTTAGATCAGTTGTGAAACTGGTTGTGAAACTAGTCAGATCTTATATTCAAGATCGTCTCAAGTACGGTCTTAAGAAGTCACGAACCAATCAGAAGGCTGCATTATGGGCCTTCTATAATAAGCCGCAAGTCAGAAGTTCTAAGCGATCTTAAGTCATAATCGGTGAAGTTGGCCAATAGTCAACTTGAACGACTTTGTTAAGACTGGTTAAGACTTCTGACGTTCTGACTTGCGACTTAGGCCCAGTTTCACAACTGACGGTTAACTCTTAACCGAGGTTCAATTTATTCATTATCTCTTTTCAATTCCAGAATTGGAAAAAGATGATAAATAAGTTGAACCTCGGTTAAGAGTTAACCATGAGTTGTGAAACTGGGCCTTATTGTAGAAGGCCTATTAGCGTCTTAAGACATTACTTAAGACGGCCTTGAAATAAGAATCGACTGTGAATACCGGCCTATGAGTGCATCCACAAGCACGACCGCTCACTAAACTCTGACATCTGATTGGCATATTCCATTAGATCTAATAATACAGACCAAACAGGTACAAGAACTTACTGAGCGCTCAGTGAGTAGTTGTGCTTCTGGACCTTATGAATACGAGCATTGTGTCATCTGTGAATTATCAGCTGATCGAAGAAATTAATAAAAAGAAAAATTCAAATCAACAAGCAGATTATAATTTCTGCCGGCTTTGATAAACAACAGCGAGATTCACTCAATGCTTGCGACAAACTCAACTAATATTTTTTTTTAAACACAATGTAATATTTTTTTCTTTAACATGTACCAAATGTTAAAGTTTTAGTTAATTTCTAAGCGGTGTCTCAAGCTATTTCAGTCGGTCTGCCTGAGAGATGATATTAGAACGACCTTTGACCTCAATCGGAAAAGCACAACGGTACGCTTTTTTTTTATAAATAATTTAGCGACTACGTATAACTTACGATCAATGCGAATGCAACAGGTCTCAGCGAAGGTGAATATCTCACGACGCAGGCAACGATACTGCAACAAATAACAGAAAATTTCTTTAGTGTCGATAATTGTTCAACAATTGTAAGAATCGCAAATGAAAAAAATCGAGCATAGAAATGACGGCGTTCAAATCTTCCAATCGATTTCGGAATTTATTATTATCAATAATACATTATCGATCTATAATCGTCTCTATAGTTATCAGATACCTGACGCGAACTGACAATGTTCACGCAAGCAAAGAGTTTTCATTTCATTTAACTCCAAGGATGCCGAGTTTTCATGGCGACAACCAGGCAAGCGAATTGAATGAAATGAGCTGTACGTGGGCCGATTATCGCTCGTAATTTGACACAGCTCGCGGATTACTTGCCGCTTAATTCACTCTACTCGGCGTTCAGACTTAGGACTAGTCAAGTGAATGACGAAGCAAAATAATCCATTTTTCTTAGATCAGTTCAATCAGTTTTCTTTCGCGTCTGAGAAGTGAGAGGGGATCAATGATAGGTACTTCACGATACTTACGCAACCGATACTTCGAGAGGCTCGACGTAATATACTGAGTATTACTGAATGCTCAGCCAGCTCAGTTGCGCGCTGATTCTTCGGTGATAAACGGGATGCTTCCGAAAATATCGTATATACGTAAACATTACGTTGTACATGTGCATCAATACATGTGTCGTGCCAGTGCATACGTGTAACACACAAATAAACACTCATATAAACGCTTATGACACACATATAAATATTCATACACACATATAAAACTCATACTTCACATATACACAAAGTTCATTAATCATATGTATGAAGTTGTGTACTCAAGGTGGTGTGTGCAACATAAAACAGGTGGAGACACGGCCACGCGAGACGCCAGTTGGAAAATGGCGGACTGCGAGAAGGAGGAGGCACACAATCTCGTAAGCTATTTACCTTTACTTAGCGTTTATCTAATCGTCTTAGACACTTAGCCCCTAGTCATCAGATAGCGATATTCCTGCGTCGCGTTAAATTATTTCACGCTTACTCATTTTATCGGCTCGCTGCGAGCGTTTTTGAGGTTATGCCGTTTGACATTTCCTCGAAATAGTACGCTCCGCATAGATAACGCGAACATCCTGTCCCGACTGAATCGATAACATCCTGATAATTTTACTTCTAGCAAATGGAGTTCGAGTGGGTGCTCCACGAAGAAGTGCACTCCTCATTGTCGCAGCTCAGGAATATTTTGATGGTACGTGGATAATCAAATAAATTGTGTATAAATATTCCTGTACATCTAGCATTAAAAAAAATTTGTTCTGATTTAATTCCATTCGTGAATCATGTAATATCGTATGTCTAGTCAGTATATCAGTACATCAGTATATCAGTAGCCAACACATAGGTCATACATATTAATCTTGCATATCTATTTTAAGGAATGTGCTCAACGCTTTCCACTGGCTCTCTTCGGTAACGATCAGCACAATAAAACCGACAGATTTGTTTTTGCAGCTCCACATGATCAAGTAAAGTGTGTTGCTGTTCTGACAGGCGACAGTATCACAAATGCGGTAAAGTGTCCTTAGTGCACTATCAAGATTGTACTTAAAAATTACAGTTGTAGTAAAATAATAATTTCTGATTTTGTTGCTTTATTGAGATAAATTTCTATTTTGTTCATAGGAAGTGAATTTTAAGGTACAGCGACAACAGAATGTCAATATGAGAACAAGTATTCAAAGTGAGCATCCGTGGAAGTTGCAACAAATTCAAGATGCTGCTAATCATTTACAGCAAGGCATCGCTCATATAGACAATGTAGACAGACATTATCTTTTTAAAACATCGGATGAAGTTATGCATGTGCTAGGTAATATTTTGGGCTGCCTTCAGAGGAGCAGAACTAGCTTGATCGTCCCTAGGAAGAAGACAATTGATGATCTCATTAAAAGTCGGAATATGGTATGTGACATTTAGCTTAACATAAATGTATTAGTTATATTTAATAGCAAGTAACACTGTAAATTTTGTTTCGTTCACAGAAATCTCTCAATCCAAACCTCCCAGAAAATTTGGCCATTAGCTTTTACATTCAAAGCTATAAATTAGTTTTAGCTGTTTATCAGTTAGAAAATGCTCACGGCAGTGTTAAGTACGAAACCCAGCAAGCAGAATGCAGCGTACCATGGCTGAATGACGCTCTAGTATTGCTTACTATTGCCCTACAACTTTGTCAACGACTAAAAGACAAGGTTTGTCATATGATAGTTTAATTGAAAAAAAAAAATTTTTTATTTATTATAATAAATTTTCTAATATGATAAACTTTTTCAGATATGTGTCTTTTCTCAATATAAAGATTTTACGGTAGGTTCTCGTGTTCCTTCTGCAATGGGCTGGTAACCTAACACCAAGATTCGTTTTCGAATAAAATTCAATATAACGTACGATGATACATGCAAGTGAGAAAGATTTGGCCTCAACTGGTAACATTTGCTCTGGCCTTTGTTTTTACATATGTTAATTGTTGTCCTTTCATCGTATTTCTCATTGCACTAGAGTGTTGTTCTAAACGTTTTTAAACGTGATTATAGTGTGCGCCTAGTATAATAATGTATGATATATTGTAAGCTATTAAGATACCCGATTAAAGATTCACATGGAGATGTGAGTCACCAACGGATAATAACAAATCACAATATATTATTAGGCCAGAAATGGAAGACTTTAAGAGCATTTTGCCAATTACTGGTGTGCCTATCACCATGTTAATATACTGTGTTCTTCCCATTTCTGTAGTAGTTTTTCATAACCGTGTAAATTTAACTTTGGCATATGTCATCTAAAATTTGTCACTTTACCTACGAATTGATAGAAAAGTATTTAATACATCTACTGTGATTCTAGAAATTTACGCTGTAATCCTCTCCTTACTGGATTAGAACATATTTTTGTATATTAATTTTTTATTTTCTTCATTATATTCCTTGTTATAGATGTTTACGTGCATATTTACACATTGTGCATTAACCACTATGTAGCATAGTTGTCAACTTAATTTTACGGAACTATTAAGTTATTTAGAAAATAATTGTCTTTTTGTACTCAAGATTTATATTCGTTTTAATTCAGAATATTTGATGAAATCATTTGAATCAAATTTCTGTCAATGTCAGTAATTTATTAATAGTATGATAAATTACGAGAGCGTAAACATTAAAATGAAAATTAAAATCTAAAGTTGCAAAAAAGAACGATTTTGAACTTGCCGGACAACCTAATATTTGTCCAATCACATCATTTCTTGATCTAAATTTTAAAAAGGTCGATGCAATAACTTGATATCTTTGTGCTAATAGGGCGTACTAACTTAATGATGACTACTGTGTGTATAGTTTGGAAAATGCCATTTTATTTATCAAGTATTATTTAAAGATAATAAGTAGACAAATACCATGTGCCTCATGATTACGAATTTGGATAAAATACCAATACTTTACATGATGGTACAATTTTTGTAATCGGTATTTTGATTACTAAAATAGTTAGCGAGGATATAAATATATATATAAAATATATTCATATTTGTGAAAAAGAGAATATTGCCAAAGAGAATGTTGCTCTAGGTTATTAACAGTAGGGAAAGGATTAAGGTTTATAATTAAAAAAAGTGCTTAAATATAATAAGTAGTTAGTAATTCTTTTAGTAAATTAAAGATGTGTAGGAAGAAATAAATCTCCATATGCATTTTTTGACGGTTTAATGAAGTTGTTTGAAATTATATGTTTCAAAGAATTGAGATATAACAATTACAGTTCAAGATTTAACACAAAATTTTTGCGTCATTGATTGAAAGAACGCAATTAAATTGTCACTCTAGTTACACATCAAGAAATGCTAATGAAAAAAAAATCTTGCCCAAGTTATTATCCTATAGTATTTCCACAAAATTTATACATATATGTTTATAAATTAAGATATGTTTATTATTTTAATTATTTATATGCTTATTTTAATCTGTATTTTGTAATCTAGTTCAAGACATCGGAAAATTGTAATTTATATATTAAATTTTATACATTAAATTTGTAGACAAGTATATTGTTTATTGTTATATGTATTGTATGTTATAAATACGATCCAAACACACATATACATATTTTAGATTTGTCTTAAAAGTTTATTAGGTATATTGTACTTATGTAATTTGTGTGTTTAATTTATTTAGGACAATTAATAAATGTATGAATGAAATTGTTATCAACTTTCACATATGTCTTTATCATAAACCCAATATTTTGTTAAATACTTGTATTAGCTGTATTCCAGTTTTTGCCAAGTTTTAATATTTATTAGATTAAATATAAGTTTTTTAAGCAGTGTATTTTGTG